GCTGCGTTCAAATCAATATGTACAAAGCAATAATTAGAAACTAAAATAGTTTCCTTTTATAAAAAAACGAAAAGAACTCTTTCTTTATATCGCTAACAAAAATAAAAGAAAAAAAGAAAACAGCAGTTCTTACCAGTTTTACTGACAAATTGAACAAAACCAAACCTGTTGTGTTGACTTCACTGTCTTGTTTTGCAAAAGTAAAGAAAAAAGATCACAATGTTTATGAACAAGTACCAGCTGTTTAAACTACCTGGAAATCTTTTTTTCTATGTACCAGTATTATTTAGCAAAAATCGTCAATAGTTTTATTCTTAAACATTTGTGAATTGAGAAAGAATCGCTTCAAAAAGTGAAAAATATCTCCATCGAAGGGACTCTTTGCAATAAATGTGCGTGTTTTTTGAAACCACCATAGACAAGCGAGAATGGGAGATCAGTTACATGACCCTTTGAAAAATTTAAAACACACTTTCTAAAATTAAAGATGCTAAATTAAGTGAACATGTTGGAAACCATTAGATGAAAGCTCCAACGTAAACAATCACAACTTAAGTACTTTCAGAATTATAAAACAAATTCCAAGAGCGAGGAAAACGCTCTTTTATATTATGGCAAAAAGGTGGTATATTTACTGAAGTTCAGAGGAATATTTCGCATGAAGCATACTGTTTTCCTTATCGCAATTACCAAAGTCGCCTAGGGGTGCAATCACACTCCAAGTCTGTCAGATAAACGGCAACACAAGATGATTAATTTACTTCACAATCCAGGCGGGCCCCAATAAAATCACTGCTTTAGCCTTACCGTACACTAAAACAGACATGGAAGCCTTGAAGGATGTCTAAAGTAAAAAAAGGCAAATGTTCTCCTTTTCAAATTAGATAAACGGGCTGGCAAATGGCCTCTTTGTTTATCCACCACTGGTTTTTCATATTTGCTAATTGCTTAACTTAGATGTAAATGGCACTCTTTTGAAAAAAGCAACAAAATCCATTCTGTGGTGTGAAAGATCTTTGCTAGTATATTTTTACCGATAAATAATTCACAAAGCAGAGAAAAACATGATTTTGCAAAATTTAAAGCACTCGGGCAAAACAAATAGCTTTTTTACTACACTGGTATTAATGCTAAAAAAACCCTCTAAAATAGATGAGTTAATTGGATAAAAACCATTTTTGGATCATAAGCACTGCAAGAGATTTAGCAATCGGTTTAAAATCTTTATAACCCATCTTAAGGTCATAGCTTAAAATAGTCTGAATGCCACAAAAATTCCAAACGAGATAAGCAGCGAATAGAAAACGGGAAAACGAAATGAACGTAATGACGCAAAGGGAAAGATGGAGATAAAAATAGTTTAAATTTAGGATCAACGTGTTAAAATTATCTCATTGAACATAACTTTGATCTACCATTTATTTATTTATTTAGCGAGATTTCTTGACGAACAGGAATAGTGACAAAAAGTAATATACTTCTATTGGGGCATTTAAAAGGGACATTTTATATTTTTCCGCTGTTCGTGTTGATTAGCATATAGATAGCTGGGTTAGCGGCTCGGTTTACAAAGGCCCCGGAATTATCAGGAATAATTGAGATGCTAAGTTGTGTCTGCCTTTTCTGCTGCGACAGGATGCACTTTGCAAGGAAAAACTGCGAAACCATTAAGCAACTCCCTTGTTTTACTTGCACTTGCAGAAAAAAACATAAACTTCTGAGCAGGTGTGCAATTTGTATGTGTTGCGAAATCACCGTAGAATTAACAGCCTTTTTTTTCCGACAGAATTTAAAGGAGCACTTTGCACTCAGCGTTAAAAAACTGACCGACGGCACCAGTTGAGCTAGGGATATCATCGCGCTTACATCTTGCTTGATAATTCCGCCAATCGAAAACGTCACAAATTGGATTAAAATCGCAGGGAAAATTGTCGATCGACGCGAAGGCGTAATTTACTCCTAAAAAAAAGTGGGCGGGGACATATCCCTTCCGTCGCGTTGGGAGCCTTTCGTACCAAAACAATTAGGCATTACTTTCGCTGCATTAATCAGCAGAAAAATGCATTTAACCCAGTCAGGTTCTAAATTACGAGCGAGGAAGTCAAATTAATGTCAACTTTGACAAGACACTAAAAATAGCGTCGGACAATGTGATCGGTTTACTTGTTCGTTTGACGGGAGGTTGATAAGTGTGCTCATTTGCCAATGTGAATTATGTGAACACGAACATATGTGATATACGCAGTTATTGGTTTTCAATAGCGGCCGAGTCGAGATCTATTTGACTTGTCTCCCACTGAAAATCTTCGCCGACAACAGCGTATCAACGTAGCTACGAATTGTAGACCCCTCGACGAGACGTTCTTTGGAAAGAAGATTTCACTGAACTAAGCTTTGCTCTGTAAGGTATGAGAATTTCTACGTTGTACTTTCAGCTGTTTAACAGATGCCGTGAATGACCATTGAAATAGCGTTTTGTGCAATCATTTGTCGTTCAGCGATTCACTACCTTGTACGCGTTCATAGCTAAGGTTCGCTGGGCAGCACTCCTGTGTTGAAAGACATTACAGCGATTTGCTGTGTACATTGTTTATGATATTGTTTTCGTGACTTTCACAACAAAATGTAGACTGTAAGAACACGAACGCGTAACATGTGTATCAAATGCCTCAAAAGATAAAACGCTAATAACATTCATTTGATACTTTTTCAGCGATAGAAGCTGCATTTCCTTTAGATGCAAATCCATCAGGATTCACGCCGTCTCGGTGAATCCAGCGGAAGAAACAAAACATTGAACTATTCTGCGTGAATCAAAAAATTGTTTTAAAACAACTAGTTTAAACAGGTTTGTTCCAAAAGATCAGCGCCAGCTACCTTCGTTACGAAGTTTCCCTCAACTGTGCAAATGTGACAACCCCTCCCTCGTTTAAGGGCTGTTTGAAACGAGAATCGTGCTCCATGGTAAACAAATTGGACGATGAGAATTTACATTAGGACAATTTTCATAAAATAAACGTGCCTATTCATCCAGAGACACTTCGGTGCTAAATGTCTGTCAGGGTAAAGATTGGATTTCAAAGATTGCCACTTATCGTGTCGAACATCTTTGTTAATTTAGATTTTCATCAAATGAACACGAAAACCGCACGAACTGCTTTGGGTTAGCAGCCACAGTTCGCACGAATATTTAGAGATTTACATGTCCTGTGCTAATTCGAGAAACGGGGGAACGATATTTAAGATGGGTGCGGCCAATTGTTGTGTGTTTCTCTAAGGAAAGTTGTAAAACGGCAATTTTCCCGCAAAGTCTCAGCTGGATTTCTCCATCAACTTTCCAAATTTCTCCAAATGCGTCCTTAATCAATGTTACATGTTAAAGAACAATGAAGTACGAAAGAATATCCTCTTTAACTACTTGGATTGAGAACAAACGTTTGTCTCTAGGTTAAAAAAACAAACGCAAGAGGAATTCTAATGACCTAGTATCACAACTGAATCTTGAACTCTGCGGTTTCGAGCTGTCTCGCGTTGACAATGTATACAACAACCTTTTCACATCGAGGAAAGTAAGTTTCGAATTTTCGTCGAAAATTACAGCTATCATACCAGATACTGCGTCGTATTAGGTTGGGAGTCAATAATTTTTTTTCAGTTTGTTTTGTATTTCCACTGCCAAACAAATTTTCAATTAGGCTTGTAAGAAATCGAGGTCAATACCTCTACCTCAGGGCAAACAGCTCAATGTAATGCAAAAGGATAATCAAACAACGAAATGACAATGGCTTGTTTCCTTGAAACATCATTCCCCAAACTCATTAGCTTTTTGTGCCAACTTTAGCTTTAAAGAGAGACTAACCGACACCTCGTTATCGTAGAATTAAATTAAAAGAACGCGCAAACTCGATGGTTCTAGTTTCACGAGTGAACAATGTTTTAGAGTGTGTTTTTAAATATTTTAATTATTTTATTTGCCAAACCATTACGTGCGATATATTTTCCCCTAAGTCTTGTAAGCGCAAGCGAAATACCAGCGGTGTTTTCCAACTTTTTAGCACTGCCGGAGATAACCAAAACCCAATACACGAGATCAGCATGACAGAGAGTTGTTTGTTCAAAAATACAACTTTAAACTCGAAAAATACATGCAAACAAAATGAAAACACGCCGTAAGTGTAAAATGGAACACGCCTTGGTCTTTTCAATCCAAAACAAACACATCACAAAGATTTGGCTGTTCACAGTTTGAAAATATTATCATAACAAAACTCTCCCACCGGAAAAAGAGCCATTTTTTTCCGCTAAATCTTCCGAAATCAATATGCAATTGGCAAACTCAACACAAAATTGAACATATCTTGCAACATGATGATTTAAATTTGGGCGACACAATGTCGTTTTCCGCCTTCGCGTCTTTCAGTTAAGTAAACACAGAGGGAGTTTCTTTCCCAAATCTCTACCAGCAAAGCGGTCCGAGAGCTAATGAGAGAGAAAAGAGTCCCGAAAACGCCAACCGCAATCCGCTATCTTTAACTCACAGATGGCTTGCGTTGTTTTCCTTGTAAACTATTAGGAATTCGCCTCAAAACCGTGGAATTAATGACTGGACCTATTGCGTTATCGAGACGTCAGTTTCTTATAAACTATGTCGCCTTTAGAAAAGCGTTTTGTTTTCATTCACTGGAGCCTAGAAAAGAAAATTAATTTCATAAGAGCGAATCTAATCTCGTGTTTCCATTAAAACAAAGAACAAAATCACAGTGAACGTGCGAATAATATCAAGTTGAACCAATCACCGTGGACTTACCAAAAATATAATCAATTCTGTGTTCCGTGTTTTCATTTTGGGCAGGCACAGTAACGATATTTCAAAAGATTTTTTCGCTTCGCAACGAAAAAAGGCCGCCCCCTGGATTCCACTGATAAGCGAATGAAAGCTTTGACCTAATGTTCATGTATGTTAGTATAATAAACTATTTTATTTTTCTGCCCACTAACAGATTTGTCAGAGATAATACAAGGCAGTCACTGATATCACTGGTGTTATAGACCTGCCACGATCCAGGTAAGATACAGCGATTTATTTTCGAAAAAGTATCGTTTAATCCACAACATTTTGCGGCACTAATGTTAGCATTTATGCCACACGAAGTGAAACACTTCATTGTCAAAACGCTTGTATTCGTCTCTTTTGTTCAAAGGATAATTACAAACCCCCAATTGCCTTTCCTTTTGTATGTGATACCAAAGCGACTTATGTTTATGAAAATTAACATGAACCGTATGTTCTTTCGACAGTGATAACACGTTTACAATTGAAGACGTACGCGCCGAAAGAAAATGTCTGCAAATAGCACTTCTACCCTGGGTAACTTCACCACAGTGCCGACTCCGGTACAGAGATCGGTCTCCGAGGCTAGTATCATCGCGTCCGCGACTTTCGTCACAATTGTACTGGTGCTCACGATTGTAGGGAACAGTCTTGTTTGTTTCAGCGTGTACTACTTTCCACGGCTTCGCAGGCCGACCAACTTCTTGATCGTGTCGCTGGCGGTGAGTGACCTACTCGTGGGGTCGTTATCTCTGCCGTTCAGGATTGCACAGACGGTTAACCACGAGAAGTGGCCCGCCAGTTTGGGTCGCGCTGGGTGTCAGTACTGGATATGGATCGATATGTTATGTTGCGGTGCGTCCATACTCAACCTCACGGGAATCAGCTTCGATCGACTGCTAGCGGTGAAATGGCCGCTGACATACCGCGAGAACATGACATCGAAGAGAGCTGCGTTAGTGATTCTCTTCGTATGGTTGTACGCGTTTCTCTTTGCTTGCCTGTCGTTTGTGAAGTGGGGCGGAAAGGAAACCATCGATTACGAACCTCAGTGTTCGATAAAAGCTAAAATCTACATCACTATTTTGGCGTGCGCTGCGTTCTTTTTCCCGCTAGCCGTTCTCATCTTCAACTACACGCTGGTTCTCAAGATCGCAATTCAGCACGCGCGAGCAGTGCAGAAAGATAGAGACGCTATTGCGGTCAACTTCTTGCCCGAACAAGACAACGCTAACGAGGAGACCAGCGGCATTGCCAGCTCTCCAGGGTCGAGTACCAGGGCCATATCCATAGGAAAACGAAGCTGCGAACCGCTCACTGAACATAAACCCCGAAGGTCTTCAGGACTACACATTATGAAGCAACTCAAAGCAACCAAGACGTTGGCTATCGTGGTGGGAGTGTTTATTTTGTCGTGGTTCCCATTCTTCGTCATCTTTCTCACATTTCAATACTGCCCAGATTGCTTCGGTAACGAGAGAATACCCGCAACTGTTAAGACGGCCCTCATCATAGTGTTCGTAAACGTTCTACCTGTCAGCAATTCCGCAGCTAATCCCATAATCTATACTTGTTTCAACAAGGAGTTCCGCACGGCCTTTTTGCGCGTCCTCTGCAAAATCTCACGGAGATCAGACGCAAAGTTTCTGTCGAAGTCAAACGGTTATACGGATACATTCTCTTCCTATGCGTAAGTCTTAAAACAAAAGAGATATGCCTGTTATCTTTATTGACTCGTTTAGATAGTAAGTGAACGAGATGAACTACTTCGATTCTCGAAAATTTGATATTTACTTTATGTTTTTATCACAGTTCCACTGTTTCCTTTGTCTATTACGGCGAGTTTCATTAACATTTTACGAACACCTTTGAATATAGAACGCAGATGAAAGACAAAATATTGACTCCCCCTCAGAGAAACACATAAAGAAAGTAAGTAGAAACTAGAACTATTGAAAAACTGAATCGCGTAACAACGTTTTGATTGAAAATTACGACGAAATGACCATTACCAAATGAGAAGGGCAATTAGTGCTTTTAGTAGAGAACGCGATTCCTTGAAGACTTCAATTTTTGCAATTACACGAAATATCATTTTCTCAGTTTTGACTCAATATTACTACCCAGTATGATACGAATTCCACAAGTAAGACTTAGTATGCGTATAACTTAGCGTTCACAACTTAAAATTAATTAATTAAGCTATTATGTTTACTTTGCCTGCGTTATCACAGTTTTTTAAGCAAGTGCTTATTCAAAGTGTAATCCTAGTTTCTGTAATATCTCAATGCCATGAATATATTGCTGATTTAATTGCAATAACGGTGAAAAAAGAAACAGATTGAATAATCTTTGACGAAACATTTCTTTAGGAATACCGCATCAAAAAATGCCGCCTATCTTGGAATTGAATTCGGTGGTTTATACTTCACACGCGCTAGACAAATGAAGGCAGAGATTAGAATTTAAATAATATATTATCGGTTGGCAATTCAGAATTTGCGAATTAAGCGCAGACTGCAATTTAAAAAAAAAATCTGGAAATTTTACATTTTGTAACCCATTTTGTCTAATGGCTAAATCTAACAAAAGACCGACAGGATCTGCGTCTTGTGTTAGCGGCAAAACATGTTCGGAACCTTCCAAAGACGATTAATCACTTTTCAAAGTAATGCGTGATAACGGTTAACACCTATGGATAATAAATGATTGTTTAGTCTAGCGTAACAAAGGCTATTAGCTCCCACATAGCTTGTTTACTTTGCTTCTGTGCCGTAAAACGGTATCAACCGCGCTACCCTGTGGGATAAAACGAGAACGGACTTCAATACTCTTGAAATATTAACATTCTTAAGCGTAAATTTGAGAGAAGGGACCACTTCAACACAGCTTAATCAAGAACATTTTGCTCGTAAATGTTAATCACGCTGAAAAGCTTGTTCGTAATTTTCATTGCAAAATAGTTACTGGATGTAGTTCACAGCCAATCACGTGTGAAAATGAAACCATGACTCGCTTGAATGGCACTAGAGAGACTTTTATTGGCTTGTTGTTTGATTGCGTCGTTTTGTCCCTGACAAACGAAGACCATTTGTCGTTAAGGTCTAATTGCTTTTAGGAAAGAAAGTAGAATGTATAAATTCAATGCTAGCTTGTGATTCTTAAGACGGATTGTTCACGTCGATGGGGTGATAAACCATAACAATGAGCGTTTCTATGCAAAAGAAATAATGAAAAAAAAACCCTGCTACTTTCTACTGTATTATTTTCTGTATTTCACATTCTTTTCTTTAATTTTTCAATTTCCTTTACAGCGTGCCAGTGAACGATCACAAAATTTAATTACCTCTGTATTAAATTAACACAAAACACTGCGGTAGCCCACATGTATAGTAATTGCTATTTAAGCTTATAATTAGGCAGCGGTCCTAAGCAATTAACTTTGTATTATTGATGATTTAAAAGCAATTTGGTTGTTTTCAATTAGTTTTAGCTTAGCCCCTCATAATACTCAGCCACTGTATAATAATTTTTGCTATGGCCAAGTCTCCGTTTAAGGGCATAGTTAAATTACGAGCTCGGTTTAGTTTATATTTTATTAGGATATTTTTACCCCAGTTTTACTATATTGTATTAATTACAGCGCTGTGTGCCTTAGTTGTGTTATTATTCAGTGCTCGAGGGGACATATCCATTCCGTTAGCTAAGAGATTAAAAATAAAAAACACTCAAAGAACATCTTTTTTTAACAGAGAAACTTAAGGCTGGTTTTTCGGTTATATCGCTGGGGATCGGTTAGAACAAGCTTATTCGAAAACGGAATTACCAAGGCTCATGGTCATTATGAGAGAAATGTGTACCGGCACCGTTATGTGTCTTGGCAAAGGAGAGATCACATACACTTTAATGACCTTGCCACGTTTGAAAGTGTTTGAAAGTAAAATACCAAATGGCGCCTTATGAAATATAGCCGATATTTCAAAAGGTGCTATTTGGTTGTTTTCGGCAAAGTAAGGTCCCGTGCACAATACGTCGGAGGAATTTGAAAACGACGTTTTCACTAAGAAAACTCATCAAAAGTTTTCCGTCCACACTACGCAGGAAAAATTTGAAAACGCAACAATTACCGGTCATTTTGGATTTGTGTTTGAGGAAAACTCGAACAGGGAAATCACATGATTTTCGTGACTACACCGTTTTCGAAAAGCTCCGTTTTCAAAATATTTTCAGTCCACACGAAAACACAAAGCTGGCGCATTTCAAATTCCTTCGGTTTGAAGAGCGTTTTCAAAAAGCTCCGTTTTCGTGACGGATTAGTGTGGACGGTAGGTCTAACCGTACAAATAAAGCTCCGTTTTCAAATTTCTCCAGTTAGGTGTGAACGGGCTTTAAGAGTTGATGTAGATCAGGTGGAGATATCGTTAAATACGAGTTTTTATAGACTTTTTCAGGTTTCTCTCTCTTTTGAACTTGGCAAGGCAACATTTGTACTCGAAAGGCTGACTTACTCGTCCTAGTCCGCTCATGTTTTTGACTCGGAGAGAGCTTTTCTTTTCTCGCTTAAGGAAATCACAATGTTACAACCCAGCGGTCTAACGGAAACTAGCCTTCAGTTATTTCGTTAAGTTGCAGTGTTTAACCTGCGTCGCAGATGAATTCAGCGGCTCAAATTTGACCCCTAGCAACAAAGAGGGTTCAATTAAATTGAGTTGTCTTGGAGCTTGCTACAGTCGAAATATAAACAAACCAGTAACTAAGCAGTGAAAACATTTCGCTTGTAAACTGTACCGAACGCAGAAAGGATTTCACACACGCCACAGCAGCCATATTGGTGTCCCAAAACAATGAAATAGTGGCCTTGCTGGCTCTTTTCTCATGTAAACACTTTTATTTATTCCAGTAAATATGAATGGCTGCTGGCCACACGAGTGAAAGCGCTCTCTCGAGCATGACGTCAGGGCAGCCATATTGGTGTGCCAAAACAATGAAACGGCGACCCTGTTAGTGTCCCAAACCAATTCTGTGGGAATTAAACTATTTTCTTATGTAATCTCTATCTTTTGTCCCGATGAATTTGTATGGCTGCTGGTCACGTGAGTGAAAATACTCCATGGGTGACGTCTGCACGCAAGCGGCACGCAAGCTGGTCGCGACGGGCGGCAAACGCGGGAAAATCGCGCGTAAAAAGCGCTGGAAAATCGCACGAGCCAATGCGCTATAAGCTGCGTGTCTGCATATGATTGGTTTAACAGACAGACCTTGCGAGTAGTAAGAGAAAATTCCATGATTTAAAACGCAACACACGACCAGATCACAGGAAGGCTGCTTAATGCAAACTCTTACTGAATATATTTTATGCTGTAGAAATAATCTTTGTAAGATATCAACCGACGGGTTATAGTCTTAAAAAATAACGGCATGCACACTGTATGCCTACATAGGAAACCATTATATAGTAACTGGGACTTGTAAACTAACCGGTATATTATTCAAGATATTGTTGATTTATCCAGGAAGGAAATGACATTGAAACGTATTTGAAAGGAAATAAAGTGTAGTATTGTCTCAAAGTTAGTGGAGTTATATTTTCTAGGAAATCAAGTGTTAGGCCGTCTTAAATTTTATTGAGATTAACCGATTATTGTGTTTTCTGTTTTCTTAATGTCGGCGATGGACAGCGTTAGCTTGAGTTCGGAGAAGAAAAGGTAATAAATTCACTGAAATTCGTTGCTTATTTGGATAATTGATTAACGCAGGATATTAGATCTAAAGCCGTGACTATTGATGACTATTCGTCACTGTTCGCCACTTTTCGCGACTGTTCGCCACTATTCGCACTATTCGAGACTATTCGCAACTATTCGCGCTATTCGGGACTATTCGCTATTCGCTATTCGGGTTTTCCAGACACCCCTGCGGGCCACATATACGGTACACCAGCAAAATATTTTGCAAGGTTTTAGATGTAAAAACAACTTCGTATGTGACTGCAGTCTTTCTACTTCAGTTTACATTCTTCAACATTTTATCTGTAAATATCTTTCTGGGTTTTAATTGTAACGTGAAGAAAAGATGCGACCACGACCGTGGGGTTTTAGCGCAGTTTAAAGCAATCTGCCAAATTTGAGCAGTTTTGCTGATTATAAGCACATAATCAAAGAATATGTGCAGGCGCACAGTCGGGGCGAAAAATACTGGTCGTTTAATAGTGGAAGTTATGCTTTAAAAATAAGAAGTCACATGAAAGTAAAAACATTTCGTGATTTATGGGCGTAAGTTATGTTTTAAAAGTTCGAAGAACTGTAAGAGACTTTGTCCAGTCCAAAAGATTTCATCATCTTCGCTCGTCCATGCATTTGAAGTGTTTATTAATTGTTTATGAAGCAATGACTGAGCATTTGAGCACCAACTTTGACTGATAAAATCCTTTATTTCTTACAACGCTTGACTTCTTACATTCCTGTTCGTTGAGATGCTGGTTGCCCGTCCCATTCTAT